CCTGGACTAGGAGCTTCTCCATGTAGGAAACCTGGGTTCAAAGGACACGCTCTGCTCCTGGCCGTGCTTTCCCCCTGTCTGTCTACTTGCTTCTCTCTTTTATATCTCAAAAGAGATTGGCTCAAGACACAATCCAATCTTGTAGATTGAGTCCTGCCTTGTTAACATAACTGCTGCCTATCCCACCTCATTAACCTCATAGAGGTAGGATTTACAACACATAGGAAAATCACATCAGATGACAAAATGGTGGACAATCACACAATATTGGGAATCATGGCCTAGCCAAATTAATACACATATTTTTGGGGTACACAATTCAATCCCTGACACATGGGTACCACCCTAGATTTTGTCATCAATTGAAACTGTTCTATCATTTAGGATAACGGTTCAAAAATTTCTCTCTCTGTGAACTCAACCTCCTATACTGCCATGTGGTTCATTCATTTTCTCTTACTACATGGTGTTTTCCTATCACACAAAGGCTTCAGTCCACCCACTCCCCCACTTCTTTGTGGTCCATCAGTCACCTCCTCCTCTCATTTCATACTTATCCAGCTCAGATTTCACTATCCTTCATTTCAACAAATTCCCTAATACCTACTTCCTACCTTCACACAGGCCCAGCAGAACTCCAACAACGGACGATTCCATATTGTATGCCTGCCCCATGGCAACACTTAGGCAGACCAGCCTGCGTAAGAGCAGTAATACTGCCACCTCTAGAACATCACAGTTGCCAACATGAAAGAGCCCTCAACACTGCAGGGAACAATCCTACAAGTCAGTGTAGCCTCCTCCTCAACCAAAGACCATTTCAAACCTTCTGATAATCTCTTTAAATCTCACACATCCTTACCTTTTCCCTCCATTGTAACCAGCTTCCAAAGTTGCCCCCGATGATCCTTGCCTTTTCGTTTTCACTCCCTTGTGTAGTTCCCTCCCATACAGAATTAGGGCTGATCTGTGTGATTAAAAGAATACTGCAGAGGTGACGGTGAGTGATTTCTAAGGTGAGATCCCAGAAAGCATTGCAGCCTTGGTCTTTTGGACTGCTCGCTCTAGAGAAAGCCAGATGTCACGTTGTGGAGACAATCAAGCAGCACTGTGGAGAAGCCTATGTCGAGAGGAACTGAAGCCTCCCACCAACAGCCAGCAACAACTTAGCATCCGTGAGAATGAACCAACTTGGAAGTGAATCCTCCAGCACCTGTCAAGCCTTCAGATGACTGCAGCCCCAGTCCGGCTGCAACCTCATGAAAGTCCCATGTCAGAACTTTACAGTTAAGCCACTCCTGAGTTCCTGAACCACAGAAACCATGAGTGCTGATAAGTGATTACTGTTATTTTAAGTCACTAGGTTTTGGGGTTGTTATAGATAACGAACACACCCTCACTTTCAGCAGATGGCTCTGCATCCTACTTCTCAAAGTAATAATCATAAGAAGGAATCTACTTTCCTGTCTTATCACTAAAACTACAATCCGGACCCTGGCTTCTTCTCTCTTTCCTGTTACAAACAAGGAGTTGTCTCCCCTTCTCTATAAGGCCACACTCTGCAGTTTTATTCTTCTGTGTTCTATCCCTTTTGTCTTTTATGGGAGCTGTATATGATTAATTTTCTCTTGTCTTTCCTTTCCCTTCAATCTATGCCACTGTACTGAACTCTTCCACAAACCATTTAAACCTGATCCAGGAATTTTAGTAGTGAAATAAATCTACCTTAAGAGCAGTTTTCTTTCCAGTTACTGCCCAGTCTTTTTCCTTTGTCACAGCCAAAGTTTTTGAAAGTGTATTTCATTCTATGCTTTATTTCCTCATGTCTCACTCACTCCTCAATGCAGTATAATCTCGTTTCCACCACCACCATTTGAAGGACAACACCTTTGGTAGAAACACCAATAACCTTATTCACAATAACAGAAATGCAGATTGCAATTACACTGATAAAATTTCTTACCTATGAGATCAACAGAAACATCCACAGTGGACCACACTCTCAATTGGCAAGGCTGCATTCGCATACACTGAGGTGTACAATGCTATGAAAGGAATTTTGGCAATGTCAAGCAAAACTGCAAAAACATTTACCTTTTCCCCATTAATTCACTTCTAGTAATCTCTTTCAAAGATACAGAAATAGCAAAAGACATGTGTAAAGATTATTCATTGTGGCATTATTTATAATAACAAAGGATTAGAAATAATAAAAATGGCCATCAATAGGGAAATAGCTGAATAAACTACAGGTAACCACAGAGTCATAGGAGTCCCTGAGTGGTGCAGTTAACATACTCAGCTACTAACTGAAAGGTTGGAGATTTCAGTCTACCCATAGGTGCCTCAAAAGAAAACCCTGAGAGTTTACTCCCAAAAAATCAGCCATTGAAAACCCTGTGGAGCATAGTTCTACTGTGATCCACATGGGTCACAATGAGTTGGAATCAACTTGATGGCAACTGGAAAAGAAGTGGAGTCATAAAAAAAATTGAAAGGTTCTCTAGGTATTGACAGAGATTCTTATTCTCAAAAATTTTTGGTAAAAAAAATATATATATGGAATCTTTTTTTTTTATAAAAAAGGAAGAGTCTTTGCATGAAGATGGCACTGAAAACAAAAGAAGGAAACTCCTACCCCTCCCGAAACTGAAACCAAAGCAAAGGCTTTGAAGGCCAAGAAAGCAGTGCTGAAAGGTGTCCACAGCCACACACACACACACACACACACACACGCACACACACACACAGAAGATCTGCATGTTACCCAGCTTTCAGCAGCCCAAATATCCTCAGAAGAATGGCCCTAGGAGAACAAGCTTGACTACTATGCCATCAACAAGTTTCCCCTGACCACTGACCATCAAGATTGAAGACAGCCACACACTTGTGTTCACTGTGGATGTCAAGGCCAACTACCACCAGATAAAACAGGTTGTGAAGTTCTATTACAATGACTGTAGCCAAGATCAACACCCTAATCAAGCGTGATGGAGAGAAGGTGGCATATGTTTGACTATGCTGCTTTGGATGTTGCCAACAAAATTGGGGTAGTCTAAACTGAGTTCAGCTGGCTCATTCTAAATATAAAAATTTCACCACAAAAATAAAAAGAAAATAAAGACGGCAGAATATAAATATATATAAATACACACACACACACCATTTACTTATATATGCAAAGAAAGTGCTGAGAGGATAAAACAAATGAATATAAATGGGATTCATTGGTTACCAATGTAAATGGTAACCAATATCGGTGGGAGATTATTGGGAAAAGGAGGCAGAAATGGAATTGAAAATATAATACAGAAGTGTAGCTCTGAACACACCTTATGTACTTTGGAACCATATTTCAAGAGTACAACTGCAAGCCTCAAAATGAAAACAAGTAACTAAATGAACCCAATTGTACATAAAATTGGAAATATGACTACATGAGAAAAAGAATTATTTCACATGACTTTAAAACAAAATATATTGCTAATTCAACCATTTTATTTTTGATGAGCATTTGAGTTGCTTCTCATCTTTCACTGTTAGATATAATGCTACAATGAATAATCTTGTGTGTATATGCTGTTTTGTATTTGAGAGGTTTACATTCAAAGTATATTCCCAGAAATAGGATTGCTGAGTAAGGACAGTAATATTTCTCAGTATAGTTTTTTTTATATATATACACTGAAGAACAACATCAAGTAAATAAATTGATGTTATTCGGAGCCAATGTTTTCAATATAAAAGAGACAAATATGAAATTAAAGAAGTTAGGAAAAAAAACACTGTAAGTTAAATTTGAATTAGAAATATCACTATAAACTCGTAATTGAAAAAATATGTATTTCCTAGCTCTATCCAGCAGTGAGAGTCTAGGAGTAATGATACTGCAGAAGCACTTGCACACCAAATGCCTAGATCTTGGTTTCTAAGTACCATTCACCACTAAAAGGAGCAGAGTACTCTACGTACTAATAATGAAAAAATCTCCAGTATAGTGTTAAGTGAAAAAAAAAAGGCACAAAAAATGCATATGTTTTGTGTAAAGAAAAGGGGGAATGAAAATATATTTGCTTCCATTCACTTAAAACCTGGAAAGATAAGAAGGCATGATAAACCAAAAAAAGTGATCACCTATAGGTGAACCTTATTTAGAGGAGAGAACAGGATAGAAGGAGACCTAGTTGGGAGTAAAACTTTGTAAGGTAATCCTTTTTATATCATTTTAATTTTTGAGCCAAACAAAAATTTCTAATAAGAAAATTTTAACATTTGAATAAATAGTATGTAAGAAAACTGAGTAATTTTTAACTCAAAAGTTAACTTTTCCAGGTAAAAATCATTCCGAGATTAACTTCTCTGACACCAATTTCTTTGGACACATCAAATTATAGCTCTACTTGGAAACATGGTGACAGGTAGTTACAGGAATCTCTGCTTTTATTTTCTCCCAATTTTTTTTAAGGGCAGGTATATTTAAGCTGAGTCGCTGGGTGGTGCAACAGTTAACCACTCAACTGCTAGCTGAGAGGTTGGAGTTCGAACCCACCAAGAGGTGCCTTGGAAGACAAGGCTGGTGATGTGCTTCCAAAAGGTCACAGCCATGGTAACACTATGGAGCAGTGATACTCTGTATACATGGGGTTTCCATGAGTCAGAAGCAACTAACAACAACATATTTAAGGCATTAGTAGTTTTGCCTTGATTTCCTAATTTTCCTGGCAATGTTTAGAGTCCTTCCCAGGATTTAAATAGACATTTGGTAATGTTTTTATGTACATTAAAGTGGAACTACATTGCACTGCATAGATTTTATTACTGTGTTTCAAAATTTGATGAGACACAAAAGTTGCTCTTGATCAGGCAAACTACAGCCCAGAGGCCAAATCTGGCCTGCCACTTTTTTTATTTTTGGTCACACAAAGTAAGAATGGTTTCCGCATTTTTAATTGGTTGAAAAAAATCAAAAGGATAATATTTTCTGACACGTGAAAATTGTATGTAATCCAAATTTCAGTATCCATAAATAAAGTTGTATTGGCACACAGCTATGCCCATTATAATGGCAGAACTGAGTTGTTGCAATAGAGATCGTATGGTTGCAAAGCCAAAAATATTTACTATCTGACCCTTTACAGAAAAAAGTTTGCTGACCCCTGTTCTAGGTCAAATTCTTCCAATGCAAACTGAACACCTGCTCCTCTTCAGTATACCCATTTCATTTCTTGAGAAACACACAACACAAGGTTTCTGTAATCAGTAGCTGGGATACCTATTTGGGGTTCCATGATTGTCTTGGATTCCCCAATCTCATACTTCACTCTGGCTTTCACAAAGAGAAAAATCGTACTTACTCAGACCAACTGAAAATGACAAGATGATGCCCCTTTATTCAAAGGAAAAGAAAGGTGTTATGCATTGAATTGTTCTCCAAAAATATGTGTTGTAAATACTATTACACCTGTGGTTATGATCCCATTTGGGAATAGGATTTTCTTTGTTATGTTACTGAGACAGTATTAGTGTAGGGTGTGTCTTGAGTCAATCTCTTTTGAGATACAAAAGGAGCAGATTAAGCAAGGAAGCAAGGAAGGCACAGTAGGGAAAGATAGATGCCGTGCCACATGAAGGTCACCAAGGAATGCCAGGCCTACAGATGCTGAAAAGAGAGAAGGGCCTTCCTCCAGAGCCGACAGAGAGAGAAAACACTCCCCTAGAACCAGTGCCTTGAATTCAAACTTCTAGCCTCCTAACTGTGAGAAAATAAATGTCTGTTTGTTAAACCACCCACCTGTGGTATTTCTGTTACAGTGGCAATAGACAAAACAGAAAGGAAAAAAAATAAATGATCCATTTGAACAGCTCAGAAAAGGCTAGCAGAAACTGGGCCTTTTGTCAGGCCTCCTTTCCCTGGAGTTAGAATAAAATATACACAATACATCAAACATATTCACACAACTACCATAAGCTGAATAGAACTTGGGTTCTTCACTGAGGTTTGGACCCCTCAAAGCAGAGCAATGCCCTGATAATAAGGAAAGGCAACCCGTTCAGCCTACAGGTTTTGCCTCTGAGAACTCCACATGCCTCTCCTTCCCACTTGCAGTTTGGAAAATGTTCATGAGGAAGAAACTTTACACCTGGAATCAGGTTAATGTTCTAATCAAATGTGATCCAGGAGGACAGAACCTAACGGGTTGTATTAGTTTTGTATTAGTAGCTGCCCTAACAGATTACCACAAACTGCGTGGCTTAAAACTACAGAAATTTATTTTCTCATAGTTCTGGAGGCCAGAAGTCTGAAATCAAGTTGTTGGTAGGGTGGGTCCCTATTGGAAGCTCTGAGGGAGAATCTGTTCCATACGTCTCTCCTAGCTTTTGGTGGTTGCCAGCAATCCTTGGCATTTCTTTGCTTGTAGATGCATCCCTCCAATCTCTGCTTCCATATTCACATGACGTTCTTCCCCTGTATGTGTCTGTCTTTGTGTCTTCACATGGTGTCCTCTCTGTGTCCAGATTTCCCTTGTCATATAAGGACACCAGTCAGATTAATGGCCCACACTACTCCAGTATGTCCTCATGTTAATTAATTACATCTGCAATGATCCTATTTCCAAATAAGGGCACATTCACAGGTACCAGGGGTTAGGACTTGAACATATCTTTTTTGGGGACACAATTTTACCCACAACATGGGTCTTCCTCCAAGTCTGATGGCACAGAAATGTTCTCAGTTCCCACAAATCACACATATTCTGAACTGACCAATTCGATGGGTCCCCAAATCACACAACCAGCAATAGCCACAAGATAACCACAATGACAACATACTACAGGATCTCCTACTTCCCAGGACCCCGAAGATAATAACTTCGAAAGTCATTATCCTATAGGATAAGGGTTCTTCTCTGTAGGTAAGGGCTGAAGCTATACTTGAAATCTCTCTCTTTTTTTCTTTATCCCGTTGTTTCTACTTCCTCTTTGAGTGGGGAAAAACTGTCTCTAAACAGACATTCGCCAGCCTGAAGCCAACTTCATCTTCTCCGCAGTCTCTGGATGAGCTGGTTCCCCTGCTGCACTTACTAGTTCATTGGGACCAGCTTCTTGGGGTGTCTATGTGTTCCTCCCTGCACTCAAAGATAAAATGGGCACGTGTTGGGGGCAGGGGCAAGGAGAGAGGCGAACTGGGGACACAAAGAGTTTGGACTAGGTGAAAAATAAAAGAGTGTTGGGGGGCAGGTGCTGCAGAAGAAGGGCCTGGAGATGTGCTTCCATAAAGATCACAACCAAGAAAGCCCTATGGAGCAGTTCTACTCTGTAACACATGAGGTCAACATGGGTCAGAAACAACTGAACAGCAACCAGTTTTGTTTTGGTGTGGGGGGCACGGCAGGTGGCTACCTAGGAAAGGCAGAGCAGCTAAAACAATCTTGTCAGGAGGTTTGTACTGATATGTGGAGCCCTGGTGGCACAGTAGTTAACACCTCAGGTTGCTAACCAAAAGGTCAGCAGTTCGAATCCACCAGCCACTCCTTGGAAACCCTATGGGGCAGATCTACTGTGTGCTATAGGATCGCATTGAGTCGGAATTGACTTGACAGCAACGGGTTTTGTTTTATGGGTACTGTCTTAGTCATCTAGTGCTGCTACAACAGAAATACCACAAGTCGATGGTTTTAATGAAGAGAAGTTTATTTCCTCATAGTCAAAGTAGGCTAAAAGTCCAAATTCAGGGCATCAGCTCCAGGGGAAGGCTTTCCCTCTCTCGGCCTTCTTCTCTTCAGTGTTCCCCCGGACTAGGAGCTTCTTGGCGCAGGGACCCCAGTCCAAAGGACATGCTCTGCTCCCAGCACTGCTTTCTTGATGGTATGAGGTGTCGTGTTCCCCCAGCCCCCCATCTCACTGCTCACTTCTGTCTTTTATATCTCAAGAGATTGCCTCAGGACACAATCCAGTCTTGTAGATCAGGTCCTGCCTTACTATCACAACTGCCACCCATCCTCCCTCATTAACATCATAGAGGCAGGTTTACAACATACAGGAAAATCACACAGTACCAGGAATCATGGCCTAGCCAAACTGGTGTACACATTTTTTGGGGGACATAATTCAAACCATGACAGGTACCAATATGTAACACAGCCAGGCCCTGTCTCTCTTCCAGACCTCTTGCCCAGTGTTTTGGGTTAAATTGTGTCCTCCAAAAAAGATATGTTCAAGTCCCTAACCCCCAGAACCTGTGAATGTGATCTTATTTGGAAATAGGATCTTTGCAGATGGATTTAATTAAGATGAAGCCATTTAGGATGGGCCCTTATCTCTTTATGACTAATGTCATAGGTAAGAATGCCATGTGATGACAGAGGCAGAGACTGGAGTGATGCTGTCACAAGCCGAGGAACACCTGGGCTACCAGAAGCTAGAAGACACAAGGAAGGATCTTCCCGTAAAGACTCTGGAGGGAGCATGGCCCTAGTGCACCATGAATTTGGATTTATAGTCTCCGGAACTGTGAGACAATACATTTCCGTTGTGTTAAACCATCCAGATTGTGGTAATTTGTTACAACAGCCCTAGGAAATTAATTCACCCGAGGAATTGATGCTGGCTTCCCGACAACAACCCTCCAATTTAAGGGGAAGGAGGGACTCAGAGGAGTCAATGCAGAGCAGGGAAGAAGGTATCAGTGCCTGTCTGCCAGTTCCCCCCAGGACCTACCATCCTCCCCAGCCCTGGGAACTGACTCCACCCTGAGAATATTTTCATTTTGTGCGGAATCTTTTCCTCAGTCATTCCCAGCAGGCCAGCCATTAGCTCTTACTTGGAGCTACGCAGGGGTCTTCTGCAGCTTCCTCCACTCCCATCTGTAGGCCTTCAACCTTCACCTTCCAATCACCACAGTTCCCAGGTGTCTTTGACTCCTGAGTCTCTGTGGTAGACAGAATGCCCCCGTACCCAGAGAGGTCCATGTCCTTATTCCTGGAACCCATGGATATGGTACCTTACATGGCAAAAAGGACTTCGCAGATGTGATTAAGGATCTTGAGAAGGGGAGATTAACATTTTATGAACATATAAATCTTAGCCAGAGATGTTCCATGTAGACTATTATAAATACATTTCCTTTCTCATTTTTTCTTTTAACCTCTTAATTTTTAAAATTCCCGTTTATTTGTTTTGGTCCCTGAGTGGCACAAGTGGTTTGCACTTGACCACTAACCTGAAGGTTGGCAGTTCGAACCCACCCAGCAGTGCCGCAGAAGAAAAGGCCTGGCGATTTGCATAAAGATTACAACCAAGGGTGAGAGAAGAGATGTGACAATGGAAACTGAGGGGTGGGTGAGATAGAGACAGTTTTGAAGATGCTAAGCTGCTGGTTTTGAACACTGAAGAAGAGGCCCCAGCCCCTTTGGTTTGTATTTAATGATTTAACGTGTAACAATGGCCCAGCCCGTTGGGTGTGACTGTATTCACCTGATTCCTGTCCAGCCATCTGCTCCCCAAAATGAGAGAAAGCAGCTCCAAGCCGCGTGCATTTGACTTGCTCAACTCATTTTGCTGGATAGAGATTTTAGTGTGACTCCAGCCACTTTAAATACACCTTGTCATTCAGTGGCCCTCTAAGTGACTCTGCTGATTTTCAATAATCTCCAGAGTTTACTCAGACATTTTAAGGCCCTAGAGCTCTTTCCTGTGGCCCCAGAGCAGGGCTTCCCAACCTCGGTATTACAGACATTTTGGGGAGAATCACGTTCCATTGGGGGTGGTGGGAGCTGTCCTGTGCTTTGCAGGATGTTGAGCAGCATCCCGGGTCTTCACCCACTAGATGACAGTAGCGGTTGCTGTGTGCCTTCCAGTCTATTCCGACACCTAGTGACCCTATATGATAGAGCAGAACTGCCCTGTCGGGTTTCCTAGGCTGTAATCTTTACTGAAGTAGAAAGCAGATCACCAAGTCTTTTCTCCGCGGAGCCGCACTTAACCATTGCGCCACCAGGGCTCCTGATTCTAGTAGCAACACCCTGCCCCCCATTTGTGACAACCATAAATGTCTCCAAACATTGTGAAAAGTCCCCAGGAGGGTAAAATAGCCAGAGTGAGAAGCACCGGGATAAGGATGATGGGAGAGGGGATCTCTGTGGAGGCGACGGAGCTGGGAGGAAACAGCAGCCTCAGGCCCGGTGAGGGACCGAGGGACGCCGGAGCCCGCGGCTCACGCCCCCCCCAGACCCGGACGCGAGTTCCCGGCCCGCCCGCCACTCACCAAGTCCTGACAGTGCGGCCCGGCCTAACAATCCGACGGACGAATCCGGCCGCCGGAGACAATAGGACTCGCAGCTCCGGGCGCGCGACCTGCAGCCCCGCCCAGGGCCCGCTCCGCCCCACCCCGCACTTCCGCTTTTGGTCTCGGGCTTCCGCAGCAGAGGTTTGGGGGGTTAGCGTTGAGGCGGCAAGCTGCAGTTGCGTCCCACAGCGTGGGGCCCAGGTGTTTTAGTTTTCTTGGTGAGTACAAGTTTGGGCTCTGGGCTTGTATGCATCTTGCGGGGGCGGAAATAGTCCCGGGGTTGGGGACCAGACTGAGGAGCAGAGCTGTGGGCGGGGGCCAGGCTCAGGGGGCGTGGCTGTGGGAGAGCACCAGGCCTGGAGGGCAGGGACTAGAGTTGGGGGCGGAGCTGTGGGCGGATACAAGTTACGGGGGCGGAGCTATGGACGTGCACTAGGCCTGGAGAGCGGGTCTGTGGGGAGTAATAAGGCTGAGTGGGGTGGGCTTGTGGGCGGGAACCAGACTTGGGGGCGTGGCAGTGGGCAGGTACCAGGCCTGGAAGCGGGGGACTAGAGTGAGCGGTGGGACTGTGGGCGGAGACCAGTTATACTGGCGGGGCTATGGGCGTGCGCTAGGCTGGAAATGCAGGTGTGGGAAGTAATAAGGCTGAGTGGGGTGGTGCTGTGGGCGGTCATTTACAGGGGCGGGGCTACGGGCGGGTACTGGAGCTGGAGAGCTGGTCTGTGGGAAGTAGTAAGACTGGGTGGGATGGGCTTGTGGGCGGGGACCTGACTTGGGGGCGTGGCTGTGGGCAGGTACCAGGCTTGGGGGGTGGAGACTACACTTAGGGGTGGGACTGCGGGCAGATACCAGTTGCAGGGGCGGGGCTGTGGGCAGGGATAAGGCTGGATGAGGAGGGGCAGAGGGTGGAGATCAGCTCTAGGGAAGGGGGCTGGAGGCAGGGCTTTCCGTGAATCCCTAGACTGTTCAGACAGTAAAACAAAAAAAAACCAAACCCATGGCCTTTAAGTCGATTCCGACTCATAGCAATCCTATGGAACAGAATAGAACTGCTCCATGGTGTTTTCTAGGCTGTAATCTTTACACAAGCAGACTGCTACATCTTTCTTCTGCAGAGCCGCTGGTGGATTTGAACTGCAGACCTTTTGGTTAGCCACCAAGCTCTTAACCACTTTGCCACCAGAGCCCCTGTTCAGACAGTAGGATGCTCAAAAAAACACTTAACATTTCTTTAATCCTTTCTCCAATCTCACACAGCCTAATAGAACGATATACAATAAAACCGGTGAAAGCCGGAAACTGTGTGAAGCAGAAACTTGTCAGAGAAGGAGAACTCAAATATTTTCCACTAATAGTGATAGAAAAGTGGTAAGCTGCACCCTGTCAAAGGAGATAACTTGCGAGAAGTGGAAAAAAGAAAACAATTCATTCAGTTCCCAGTCTCACAGCTTTCATCGTAGCAATATTTACGAATTTATTTTTTTGTGTATGTTTCATATTCCTAATGTCTTCCAAAAATGGGCCCATGTATGCGTATTCTCTACAACTTGCTTACCCAAGCTAGTAGATGGAGCTCTAACTCCATTCTAATTTAAGATTTTTGGGGGTGAGGGTGGGGAGAGGTCATATATGCACCTATAGGAAAACGTCAAACAGTGGTATAATTCAGTAAAATATTCTCACTGTCAGTCCGTCTCCCTTCCCTTTGCCCCGAGACAAACGCGATGATCATTTCCATGTGTATCCTTTCAGATATAGTATGCGTATATGTATATCTGTATGTACATACGTTTGTGTATACTGTAGTTATTCATTCAACAAGTTCTTATTGACTCGTTACCAAGTCACTGTTTTAGGTACTCTGGGTACCGACTGAACAAAACAAATATTCCTGCCCTCAGAGGACTTGCATTTTAGTTGTGGCGTAGGCAGGGGGAGTAAATAGACAATGACTGTGGTAAATGAAATACATGGTGTGTTAGATGTTGATAGGAGCCCTGGTAGCACAGTGGTTAAGCGCTGGGCTGCTAACTGAAAGGTCAGTAGTTCAAACCCACCAGCTGCTCTTCGGGAAGAAGATGTGGCAGTCTGCTTCCATAAAGATTACAGCCTAGGAAACCCTATGGGGCAGTTGTGCTCTGTCCTGTAGGGTCACTGTGAGTCAGAATCAACTTGATGGCAACAAGTTTGGTTTGGCGTGTTAGATATTGATAAGTACGAGGGAAAAAATTAGGCACGGTAAGAGGCATGAGGGGCATACTCCTGGGTGGTTTTCCTCTTGGCTGCCCCCTCTATTCCTTGAGAAACCTAAAGCCTCTTAATTCTGGTTTCTCATAGCCAGTGAGGCCTTGCCACTGCCCTGGTCTGCCATGCCATTGCCTGACAGTCAGCCAGCCACAAGGTTTATCCTGATTCTGGGGGGCCCAGGATAGCGAAGGTGGGGCTGTGGCATCCCAAGGCATGGGGAGGTCTAGGAAGCCTCCAGCAACTGCAGGTGTGAATGGTGGCTTATCTTCAGACTGGGCAGCTGCTGGCTGTAACTGACTGTCTTAGACACCATTAGAAGTTCAGATGTGCCAGAAATGGAGGTCCAGAAAGGTGTATGACTGCTGATTGGAACTGCACTGACTTTTAGACTCAATTTAGGGAGAATTGGTGTCCTTTTCGAGTTCATTCCTCCCATCTGTCTTAGGTATCTAGTGCTGCTGTAACAGGAATACCACAAGTGGATAGCTTTAACAAACAGAAGTTTATTCTCTCACAGTCTAGGAGGCTAGAAGTCCAAATTCAGGGTGCAGGCTCCAGGGGGAGGCTTTCTCTGTCAGCTCTGGGGGAAGGTCCTTGTCTCCTTTCAACATCTGTGGGCTGCATTCCTTGGAGATCGCCACGTGTCTCAGCATCAATCTTCCCCTGGGTCTAGGAGGTTCTCAGCACAGGGACCCCAAGTCCAAAGGACACACTCCACTCTTGGCTCTTCTTTCTTGGTGGTAGGAGGTCCCCTGATCTCTGCTTGCTTGTTTAATCCCTTTTATATCTCAAAAGAGATTGACTCAAGATACAACCTAATCCTGTAGATTGTATCCTGTCTCATTAATATAACTGCCACTAGCCTTGCCTCATTAACATCATAGCATTGTAATTACGTAATACCACGAACCATGGCCTAGCCAAGTTGACATATTTTTGGGGGATACAATTCCATCCATAACACCATGTGTCTTTGTTACCTAGTGCTACAAAACAACAACAACAAAAAAACCAAACCTGTTGCCATTGATTCCTACTCATGGCAACACTATAGGACAGAGTAGAACTGCCCCAAAGGGTTTCCAGGGAGCAGCTGGTGGATTCAAACTGCCAACCTTTTGGTTAGCAGCCGAATGCTTAAACACTGTGCTACTAGGGCCCTTACCTAGTGCTAGCAGTAATGAAAATACCACACATGGGTGCTTTAAACAGCAGAAATTTCTTTTCTCACAGTTTTGGAGGTTAAAAGTCCAAATCAGGGCATTGGCTCTAGGGGAGGCTCCCTCCTTGTTGGTAGCCGTATTGTCTCTCCCTGTTCTGAGTGTGTGTGTGTGTCTGTGTCTGTGTATGTTTTCCCTTTCTGTAAGACACCATTCAGAAGGGATCGGGTTTAGGACCCACCCTCCTCCAGTATGACACCGTTAACAAAACAAAAGAAAACCCCTATTGCCAAACAAGGTCACATTCACAGGTAAAAACAGGTTAGGATTTCAAGGTATGTTTTTGGGGGACGCAATTTAATCCATAATAACATCCTTGAAAGTGGTATAGCTCTTCATTGGTTCACTTTTTTAAGCCATTAGAATTTTAATTCTTATGAACTGTTATGCATTTTTGTTGTATTTATTCGTAGGCATTGCGTATACTTAGCTCTCTTTTTGGTTTTCCTTTTTTAAAGATTGTTTTGATAAGATTTCAAAGTTACGGAAAAGCTGCAAGAATAGTACAGGTATACCTTTGTGACTCAAATTCACCAAAAGCTAATATTTTGTCTTACTTTATCCTGCACTCTACAGGTACATTCTTATTTTTTTTGAACCATTTGAAAACAAGTTACAGACATGCCCACTTACCCCCAGGTACCTCAGGGTGTATTTCCTGACAACAGGAATATTTTCTTACAGAACCACCAAGTCCATTGCTGTCAAGTTGATTCCTACTTATAGTGACCTGATAGGATAGAGTGAGGTTTCCAAGGCTGTCATCTTTATGGAAGCAGACTGCCACATCTTTTTCCTGTGGAGAAGTTGGTGGGTTCGAACCACCGACCTTTCGGTTAGCAGCCGAGCGCTTAACCACTGCACCACTGGGGCTCCTCAGTACAGAACCACTGTAGTGATAAAACCATGAACGTTAACACTGCACAATGGTGTTATCTAATACATAATCCATATTCCAGTTTTGCCAATTGTCTTAATAATGTCTTCTATAGCTATTTTTTCCCCATATTCCAGGTACCAGTGTGGGATCATGCTTTACATTTAGTTGTCATAGCTCTTTAGCCTCCTTTAATCCTGAACAGTTCCTTAGCCTTTCTTCGTTTTTTATGAACTTGACAGTTTTCAAACGTGAACACCAGTTATTTTGTAGATAGTCCCTCAAATTGAGTTTGTTTGATATTTCCTCAGGATTAGATTCCAGTTCTACTTTTTTTTCTACAGGAATACCATAGAAATTATGTGCGTTCTTCTCAGTACATCATATCAAGAGGCATGTGCTGTTAGTTTGTCCCATCTATCATTGATGTTAACTGTGACCACTTGGTTAAGGTATTAGCAGTCAGTTTTGTCCACCGTAAGGAGCCCTGTCGGCACAGTGGTTAAGCACTTGGCTGCTAACAGAAAAGTCAGCGGTTCAAACCCACCAGCTGCTCCATGGGTCTGTAAATATTACAGTCTTGGAAACCCTGTGGGACAGTTCTACTCTGTCAGAATCGACTTGATGACAATGGGTTTGTTTTTTTGGTTTTGGTCCACTGTAGAGGTACAGTTTTCTTCTCTGTAATATGTAATTTGTAGAGAGATACTTTGAAACTGTGTAATTATCCTGTTCTTGGCAAATTTTCACCCACTATTTTAGCACCAGTTGATGATTCTTGCCTTGATCAATTATTACCCTGATGGTTCCAAAATGGTTATTTTTCTAACTTGTAAAAGTCGTGGTGTCAGACCTCATCTAACTTCAGGAAAAGGAGAATCATCAAGATCAGCATCAGCCCAAGGCCGATTCCTGTGAGGTGGAGGTCAGACATGCCTCCACCCTCCAACCTTTACGCATTCTGACACCAGCCACCCATCCCACAGCACTCTCTGCTGGGTTCGACAATTTGTTGCAACAGCCACAGAGAATTTACAGGTAATACTCATGATTATGGTGTTTATTAGAAAGTAACAGGTTACAATTCAGGATTAGGATCAACTTGGAGTAACAGGAACAACTCAGCATACAGTTCTATGATCAGGACGGCTTCTTCTTGGCCATGCCTGCAGGCAGGCCTCTGCTGCCATGCCCTACCGGAGCCTGGCCTCTGTCCTTCTTGGCCAAGTGTCACAGCTCCTTAGCTCCCCATAAATGCCTGGAGGCACCCCACTCTGCCAGGAGGCCTCCTGCCTGAAGGCACTCAACTCTTTCATTCTGTGGGTTGGCGAACCCACTGCAGTCATCTGCCAGTCTCATACTGCTTTTGTTCCATGCTGCTGCTGCCTCGCGTGTTACAGCTCTCTGTGTCCTGGGTCTAGGAGTTTCTCAGCTTAGGGACCCTGGGTCCAAAGGATGTGCTCTGCTCTTGGCTTCTCTTCTTATTGGTAGTGAAATCCCCCCTTGCTCTCTGGAGTTGTCTCTTTTTAAGCCTAGCGAGATGGCAAAACTGACCAATTCCCTTGGTGGGCCACAGTTACCTTATTTGCATATCCCAGCCAATCCTGGCAAGAGGTTTACACACCTTATTTCCATAATCCCACCCAGTTATCCCATTAGAGTTACAAGACCATGGCCAGAAAGGCCACACAAAAAAGAAACCCATTGCTCTGTATAATTCCATCATTATTTCTGTATATAATAGTTGGCATTCTACTATAAGGAGGAGTTTACCACCCGCCTCCATTTATTTATTTGCTATTTGTTATTTCAGTATGGACTCATGGAATCTTGTTTTGTTCAAAGAGTTAAAATCCATTACTATCATTTATTACGGTATTCAAGTTGTCCCAAATTTGGCCGGGAGTCTTGTCTACCCTCCCCTGTGCCCTTTTGGCATGTCTCCATTTATTTTTTATTTTATTTATTTTAGCATTCCTCTACTTTCTGGCACAAGAAAATGTTCCAGATTCATCCTGTACTTTCCTTGCCTCAGCCCTGGAACAACCATTTCTTCCAGGAGCTGTGAATACTTTTATAATGGTAGATATAAATCAAGTCTGGTTTTAGGTGTGCTCATTACTACTAGGTGTCATTTTTTCTAGGATCTTTCTCCTGACAGAGTAGGAAATATATCCATGCTGTTTTAGTTGCCATTGAGTTGAATCTCACTCATGGCGGCCACATGTGTGTCAGAGCAGAGCTATGCTCATAGGGTTTTCAATAGCTGATTTTTCAGAAGTAGATTGGCAGATGGGAGAGAGGGGAAAAGGGAGACTCACTGCTTAGGGGACACTGAGCTTCTGTTAAAGGTGATGGAAAAATTTGGAAATGGATAAAATGGTCATGGTTGCACAACATGATGAGCACAATGTCACTAATCGCACATGCAAACAATGTGGAAATGGCAACTGTTTCGTTACATATATATTTATCATAAAATTTTTTGCATGTTTGGATTTATACATAAGTATTTCTTTTTTTTGTATTGGGCACATCTACTGCAAGAGATCTTTTTAAAGTGTTAAAAAGCAAAGATGTCACCTTGAGGACCAAGGTGCACCTGACGCAAGCCATGGTGTTTTCAGTTGCCTCATATGCATGTGAAAACTGGATAATGAAAAAGGAAGACCGAAGAAGAATTGATGCCTTTGAGTTACGGTGTTGGCGAGGCATATTGGATATACCATGGACTGCCAGAAGAATGAACAAATCTGTCTTGGAAAAAGTACAGCCAGAATGCTCATTAGAAGCAAGGATGGCGAGACTTCATCCCACATACTTTAGACATGTTATCAGGAGAGACCAGTCCCTGGAGAAGGACATCATGTTTGGTAGAGGGTCAGCAAAAAAGAGGAAGACCCTCACTGAGATGGATTGACACAGTGGCTACAACAATGAGCTTAAACATAGTGAAGATTGTGAGGATGATGCAGGACCAGGCATGTTTCATTCTGTTGTATATAGAGGCACTATGAATTAGAATCAACTCGACGGCACCTAACAACATTTTTTGTTTGTTGTTGCTATTGTAAATGATTTTGTGTTTTTAATTACAAATTCCAATTTTTCATTGCTGGTATATAGGAAAGAAGTTTTCTTTTGTGTATTTACCTTTATCCTGCAGACTTTGCTCTACTCGCTTTCGATTTCACTGATTCCTGCTCTTATTTTTGTTATTCCCCTTCTCATATGCTTTAAGCTTAATGCTCTTCTCTCTTTAGTTTTCTAAGGTGGAAACTTAGATTGAATTCAGATCTTTCTTTAGTAGAGTAATGGTATAAATTTCCCTCTAGCACTGCTTTTGCTGTAGCCCATAAATTTTGATAAGTTCTATTTTCATTTTGGTCAAAATAGTTTTAAATTTCCCTTGAACTTTTCCTTTGACCCATGTGTTATTTAGTAGTGTGTTGTTTACTTTTGAAATATATTGAGGTTTTCCAGCTATCTTTCAATTTGTGATATGAGACCATACTTTGTATGATTTCTTTTAAATTTATTCTGCTGTGATTTATGGCACTGATTTGGTCTGTCTTGGTAAATGTTCCGTGTGAGCTAGAGAAGAATGTGTACTCCAAAGGATGAAGCAGTCTAAATGTCAGTTTGATCCAGTTGATTGATTTCGTTGTTCAATTCAACTCTGTCTTTACTGATTTTTATCACTGCTTGGTCTGTAAGTTACTGAGAGGGATGTTGAAGTCTCCAACTGTAAGAGTGGATATGTCTATTTCCCTCTTCAGTTGTATCAGGTTTTTGCCTCACATGTTTTGATGCACTGTTGTTAGGGGCTTACATGTTAAGGATTATTATGTCTGCTTGGAGAATTGATCTTTCTATCATTATTCATTTCTTTATCCCTGATAATTTCCCTTATTCTAAAGTCAGCTTTGTCTGAGATTAATATAGCTACTCCAGCTTTCTTTTGATTAGTGTTAGCAAGGTATATATTTCTCCATCCCTTCACTTCTAATCTATCTGTGTCTTTATATTTAAAGTGAGTTTCTTTTAGACAACATGTAGTTGGGTCTTTTTCCCCCCTCATCTGTCTGTCTTTTAGTTGATGTGTTAGACCATTCAGAGTAGGTACAGAGCTGTATGGAAGAGATTTCGATACATGATGCTACAATGAGGATAAACCTCAAAAACATTATGCTAAGTGATATAAAATCCAAAACCAAAAAACCAAACCCATTGCTATCGAGTCAATTCTGACCCATAGCAACCCTATAGGACAGAGTAGAATTGCCCTAAGGGTTTCCAAGACTGTAAATCTTTACTGGAGTAGACTCCCACATCTTTCTCCTACAGAGTAGTGGGTGGGTTTGAACCGCCTACCTTTCGTTAACAGCCAAGTGCTTTAACCACTATGCCACCACGGCTCCTTAAGTGAGACGAAACAAACCAAAAATTAAACATTGCATGAATGCATTCACATGAAATATGCAGATTAAGTAAATCTGTAGGAACAGAAAGTGGATTGGTGGTTGTCAAGGGCTGAGAAAGGGAGAAATGGAGAGTAATTGCTTAATGGGAAAGGGACATTATTTTGGACTGAAGAAAATGTTGCAGAACAAAACAGAGGTGGTGATTGCAGAACATGGTGAGTGCACTAGATGCCACTGATTCGTTCCCTTTGTAACGGATCATTTTACGTCATGTGTATTTTACTTCAATAAAAAAATTCTCTCTGGTATTTGGGTGCAAAATAAAAGCAACAAAACAAACAAAAACACCCTAGACGATAAAAATAATTGTTAACCCCCACCCTCTCAAAAAAAAGAAGCAGCAGCAGTAAATTGATGGAAGAGATCACTGAAGCCAGGAACAGTTCCATGTATACATGAAAACTTAGTATGTGTTAAAAGACAGCATTGGAAAACAGTTGCACAATGATGATTTAGTAAGAGGTTTGTGGACAATAGATTATACTTTTGTAAAAAAAAAAAATGCCTAATCACGTCTTGCATGTAGGGAAAAAATCCAAATATAGAGCTAAAATTGCAATAAAGTATTCCAAAGGCACCAGAAGGAAACAGAAAAGAAAGCACGTATAACATAAGTATTTCATGCAAGTTTGAATGTTTATAGTGTCTTTAAGTAAAAGAAAATGTAGAAAGTAGTTTCGGGACTAGCATGTTTGTAGAAATTAATTTCAGGACTAGCATGTTAATCTGAGACAGCATTCTTATGTGAGCCATGACTTGGTGCGGGTAGCTATACACAAGGGCTCTCTAAAAAAGGGGGGAGGGGAAGGAAGAGAGAACTTGTTGGTAAATTAAGAAAGCAGTTTCAGTTATTGTGTAAAATCTGTATGCGAAGTCAGGGTGGTTTATTGTGCAAAAGCCTAAAAACCTGAGAGACTTAAGACATAAATCCTTAGAAGACCTGTTTCCCCTGAAATCTCTTTTATTCATTAGACCTTCTAAAGCATTCTTCTCAGGCTTCTTCAGGATACTGTAGCACTTTGGGGCAAAGATGCAGCCTAGTAGCCCTGCACTGGAGGTTAAGATGGAGAAGATCTCCACGGCCACCATGGCCTTCCCCTTGTGCTGTGGTAGACAGGGAGGAAGGTGACCCAGACACTGCAGAACACCAGCATACTGAATGTGAAGAACTTGGCTTCACTGAAGGTCTCAGGCAGGTCCCTGGCCAGGTAAGCCAAGGAAAAAGTCCCCACTGCCAAGGAGCCCAGGTATCCCAGGACACAGTAGAAGGCAGTGACTGAGCCCTTGTTGCACACAGTGATGAGGTTTCTGGGCTCAGTGTGTATGTCAATGAAGGGGAGAGTTCCCAGCCAGATCCCACAGATGATCATTTGGATCAGGGAGTAAATGGGAACCACAGAGTTAGAAGCCCCTAAAACCAGCAACCGCTGCATGGTTCTTCCTGGTTTCATGGCCTTGAATGCCAGAATCACAGTAGTGGTTTTGGCCAAAACAGTGGAACAGCCACAGTGAACACAACTCCAGATGTAATTTGTCGGAGGATGCGAGTGGCTGTGTTGGGATGGCTGGTGAAGAGTAAGGAGCAGAGGAAGCACAGGAGGAGGGTGAGGAGCAGGATATAGCTGAGAGCCCTGTTGTTGGCCTTGACTGTGGGAGTGTCTCGGTGCTTCACAAAGACCCACAGAACCACAGCTGTGACAACAGAGAAGCACAAGGCTGTGCAGGCCAGAGCCATCCCCAAAGAATCCTTAAAGGATAGGACGGTCACAACCTTTGGGAGGCATTGATTTCTCTCACTGGAAACTCATGGGATGAGCACTGGACACACTGCTCCACATCTGGAGAAAAAAAAATGAAGACTCATTTTTTTCAGTTTCAGAGGTTCTTCATTTTACCATGTTTACCTTTGCCTTCATTGTGGACACTGACCTCCTTAGGTGTAATACTCAGACACACCAGATTAAGACTCTCCATTCCTGACCCAGAGAGAATGCTTTCAGCTGCACGTAAGACAAAACCCAATCCAAATGGATCTTCAGCACATGGAGGATCTAGTTTGGAGTATCCTGTGGTTCAGTGATATTGCTAAGCTCTAGATTCCTACTAATACTTTTCTCTGCTGTCCCCACTGTATTCCTCATGATGTCTTGCACTGCCCTGGTTTACCGTATTTTCATGGAGGAATTAGGGCTAAAAGTTTCTTTATTCTCACTCAGAGAGGGAAAGAAGCTTCATGTAGCTCTCTGAAGTGTGAGGATGATATTTCCCAAAACAATTTAGTCAGCTCCTCTTGAAGTTTCTAGTCATAAAGGATCACCCTCCCTTTATTTTATTTTATTTTGCATTAATCAATTACTGGTTAAGGTGCTGGGAATTCATGTTGACCAATAGGAACCATGGCTATTTCTAAACTTTGGGTTGACTTCTTCCAAGACTCATGAGTTATGGGGTAGAGGGATGGATATCAGAACATTCTTCAGGATTTGGTGGGAAGGTATGAAGGAGGTATGTCATGGAGGCATCCAATTATGCCTTCTGACATTTCTGTTTTAAAAACAAGGGGTGTAACTTTTGACATGTTATCAATATATAATTTTCTTCTTTGTTGTAATGATTTTTGACTTACAGTCTATGTTCAGTCAATTAGGCCAATCTCTGCCTTTTAATTTGAGGGTTTAACCAATTTATATTGAAAAAAATTACTGATAAAGGAAGACTGAGTTCTGCAATTTGTTTATCTCATGCTTTTTGTTCCTGAATTCCTCCATTATGGTCTTTTTTATGATTAATTGATTTTTTCTTTTGTACTGTTTTGATTCCCTCTTATACATTTTTCAGCATGTTTTATGACTATATGTACACAAAATATGTATTTATATAACTATGATTAATTGATTTTTTATCTTATAGACGATTTTGATTTCCTCTTGTGTATTTTTCTGTCTATATTTTAGTCTTTTCCTTATAGTGACCATGAATCTTACAATTATCATCTTAATTTTATAACAATCTAGTCTGAATTAATGCCAACTTTGTTTCAGTAGTATACAAAAGCTGTACTCCTTTCCCATGATGAGGTAGCAATATTAGATATAAAAGTAAGTACGCTGAATGAATGAGTGCAAGAATGAATGGGAAACAATGATAGCCTAGGACTCATTGCTACTTCCCTCTCCTTTCCTTTTCATGGCGAGAATGGTGAGAGGGCTGGGGTTATTGGAGGGCAGTCGTAAATATGCATACCTGTCCAATTTGAAATCTCCTGTTCGGGGCAAATAACACAAGTAAAGCAGCAGAATGGCCTTCCTTCCTCTGGAATTTTCCTGAATCCTGGACCACAGCTCTGGCTGCACACAGATGGAGGAGTCTGACGGGAAAGAGGGAGGCATCGGCCATCGTTTTGCACATTAAGAGCAGCTTGGAGTGGCTATCTATACTTCTTCTCTAATAAGTGAGAACTTAGAAGTTCTATTTCAATTTCTGGTGTTTTCCTAGCTCCATCCTTTTGATATTATCAAGCTTTCTAGGTATATGTTACCACTGATATTTTCCTTTATTTTTACTGGTTACACATACAATCAAAATTTTAGCAAAGTATCTGGTCACTTGTATCTCATACATCACTGAAAACATCCTTGAGTGTTTCCCTCCTTTTTTTGCTACTTTATTCAAAAATACTTTCAATGCAGGTCACTGTATCACAAGGATTTTGACACCTTATATGTCTGAGGATGTTTTTATTATGCCCCCATACTTGACTGCATGTAAGATTTTAAGCCCTACGTTTATCACGTGATAAATAGGCACCTTACTACAAGTACCTACATAAATAAACAGAAGTGTAGCAGCAACAAAGGATGAAGGCTTGTTATGAACCAGGAATTGGGGTTAACCCAGTTCTGGGTTCTTCAGTCCAGGTATAGCACCCCTTTGTCAGGCATTTAATGACATCTTAAAAATGCAAAATATCTTTTCTTTAAAAATTCATCTGTAAAACTGCCTGGGATTGACTAACTGTGGTAAGTTAGAAGAGACAATGGTCAGTGCCTTCAGAAGCTAAACAAAACAGTGATGACTTCTTGATAGACAAAATAACAAAGGAAAAAAATGAGAATGGTATCTATAAAGAGATGGCTGAAATCCAGAATCTACCTGTGTTTCCAGTGCATGTTAATATAGGGTCTTGGAGCATGCATGATTAAGACTTTTTTGTGATATATGGAGGATAACTAAATATAAAATTTAAAAAGTCAGTTCATTAGCTCCATTCAGTGTGAGCACTTCACTACTTCATGGCTAATCAAACCCAAGGTAAAATAAAAACAAAAAAACCCAATCACATATATAAACTTGTTTTTCCCAGAGGCACTGCCTTAGAATATGTGAAAATAAGATTATATAATACAAAGTCAAGATGTAGCACTCAAAACGTGAATTTAGTGCTGGATTAATAGGGTGCCAACTCAATCTCATCTTGGGGCTCTGTTCAGATAAAGCTATAATGCATATATTCAATTTTGAGATGATGCCTTAACTCTTTGAATTCCACTGGCCATTCGATCATCTCTTCATGGATAACTAAACTAAGTCTTGATCACGTGGATTATTGAAGATGAACTCTCCTACTTTAACCAGCAGTTTAAGACTACGTGGAAAATTCATGGTGTTCCAGAAATCATAATGTGCCATAGAGTTTCTTTTCTCATCCAAGGATATATTGTCCCCAGTGTTGTTTGTAAATTGGATATTCCTTAGAAATGGGTGAAGCTAGGGGCGAGGTATAATTGGGAAATGGGAGTGCATTCAAATTAAAGATGGTGGGCCCATAACTACCAATCAATCCTTCTTCCCCCACCTCCCTTCCCTCAGGCTCTCTTTATGGTAGAAGCTCATTTTTGTTGATGTAGTCACCATCTCATAGGCTCAAAGGAGATGAACTCTTCCCTTTCCCATTAGAATAATGGAGGCCTAATCAAACCCAATCATTGCACCCTCTAGAGCCTGGCTTAGACATTGGCTTTGATGCAACCCTAACCAATAAAGTCTGGTCAGGGCATCTTGGAAACGAATAATTGTAGACCCTGGTTATGAATGTCCCACTTACAGACAACTGGTACTTGCCCTTTAATATTATGTAAATTTATCCTCACTTTGAAATGATCAAACCAACCCCTACTAGCAACAAATTCATCATTACAATCACCTTCATTTGCTGCATGTGCAGATTTTAAATCATTGAAAAGGCTTTGAGGCTTTTCTTGCACGAAAAGAAGATTAAATAAAGAGCCATATGCATCTGTTCCAGTCTACCTACAAATTGGACTTAAAGACACTGTTAGGTACAGATCTCATTGGTCAGCTGAGTATTAAAAAGGGGTGTAACATAGGGATTTTAACATCCTGACAAATCCATTTGCATCCTAGATCATCCCAGAACCTTACAGGTATCTGTGTGTTTTCACATGTCAAATTGGGACCATAATCCCTGCTCCCATGATGTTGCAGGTTTAGCAGGAAAAAATACATAAAGAACTTGTCAGTGTCACTAGGTATGGGTAAAAAAAAAAAATCCATTTCCCAGAGTCATTTTGGAATACCAAGGAATAGGAATGTATAATCCCAGGGGGAAATAAAGACTTGACCCATTTTTGATCTTCTTATGTTTTCACATGAGTTATTGTTGGGTCATATTTTACATATTGTTTTCAAACCTTAGGAAACTTTTTTCTGATAACAATTTTTAACTGTATAGACTGTAAGTGAACCCTTCCCCGCATCCCATGACCGGGGTTTTTCTGATACTCAGCAATTGCACAGTGTGAGCAATCCTCCATTCATTTGCCTGATCCTATTGATCTTGATTCACAAGCCTGGTCATGATGTTGTGCCACAATGGAACACCCCCAATGCCATCAGGTGGACAATACAAATCCTACTTCTGGAGGAGTTTACCTGCCGGGGAGAAGCATTGGTTGGTCTGCATTTCCTGTAGATCCCATATCTGTGTTCACCAGAAGCGTTTCATGGAGGGCTTTGGCCATGGCATATACAGCATTATAGATGAGATAGCTGGAGTCAGACAAGATGATCGTGCCAATATAGACTGGCATCAACTCTAAGGAAGCATTTGGTGGGCAGGCTTTGATTTCTCCACACTGTGACCAGCAGGTGAACAATTAAACACCATAAGCCAGAGTATCCGGAAGTATAGGTCTTCTGGGTATCTGGAAGGATTAACTGTCTTGAGAAAGTGTTTGAAACCAGGGATTTCCTTCTCCCGATGTGAAAATGAGAGGCTTCCACGAAAAGGATGCAACATCTGGTCCGACTCATACAAATCATTATCCCACTTTTCTTCAATTATCCACACCTTCCCTGCTACTAAATAAATTTCTGGCAAAACTGTGGATTTCCACACATTATATACACATTCATTGATGCATCTCTGAACCTGTCTTTGAACATCAAATCACTGTCTGCATGTATTCTGTATATATGAGGGGTAATTTCTGTAAAGGCCACACAGATACCTTTCTTTACCATCTCTGCTTTCAAGTCCCAGTGGAACTGCTGTCCTTTCATATCTTCAGAGACAAAAAGCCCCACCCAGGTCCAACCAAAATGTAGCAATAACCAGATCATTCCATGGACCATAGAGCTGTCCTTGCAGGCTAACTGACAGAGCGATGAGAACTGGTCTTTATTACTCAGGACAGGATCAAAAGGACCATATGTGACCTGAGTAAGAAAAGAGAAAGACTATGCTTCTGAGATGAGTGAAAGTTTGGGTTTTTTTTCACTGAAGAGTAAGTACAGAATTCGCTATGTGAGAGGGGAGTTAATGGAATATTTGCTGAAGAGAAAAAAAAGCAACTTTCATGAACATTCCATGAGAATGACTGTCAGTAAAAAGCATAAAAGAAGATGTGAAGATCTCCATGTGCTCTTCAGCTCCTGAGGCTCAACTGAAAAGTCTTGAGTATGAGTTGGTGCACCATCAAGATAATGTTGTCTCCACCAGCCTTGCCCTGTTAGATTAGTCTCAGAGGCACATCTCTCCAGCAACCAATGTTGGTTGTGAACTCCAATAATATTTCCTGTGTTATGCCCTTGATATTTTGGATTTAACAAAATACCTAAACAATGTAGGTTATCCTGAAGAGCCTAGTCACATACTGTCTGATTTCTAAAAAATGATCTTTCCATAACTGAGTTCTCATAAGCTAATGTCTTATTTATCCTTACTTCTTCCTGACTGCTGCTTGTCTTAGATCAGGTCCCCAGGAAAGTGACTCTGAGATGGAGAGTTGCATGTGGAAATTTTACCCAGAAGAACATAATCACATACTGTCTTATTTCTAAAAAATTATTTTTCCATAACTGAATTCTCATAAGCTAATGTTTTATTTGGAGCCCTGGTGGTGTAGTAGCTAAGACCTTGGCTGCTAACCAAAAGGTCGGCAGTTCAAATCCACCAGTTTCTCTTTGGAAACACTGCGGCAGTTCTACTCTGTCCTATAGGGTCACTATGAGTCAAAACTGACTCGACCACTCCTAACAACAACGTCTTATTTGACATAACTTCCACTTGGCTGCTGCTTGTCTTCAGTCGGGTTCCCTGGAAAGTGACTCTGAGATGGAGAGTTGCATGTGGAAATGTTATGGGAATGCCTTCAGGAGGTACACTTGTGGGGAAGTGAGGCAGACAGGCTTGTGCAAAAGGAGGAGCTGAACTGCAAGACAGTTGTAACTGAGTTTTAGACAATTACTGGGTCACTCCATCATTGTCCCTAATTGAGACTAGAGGACCAGGCCTTTGTATCCCCACATCGGCCAGTCTATAATGCTACCTGAGAAAGGTCGTATTCTGGGATGGGGCAGTTAGTTCCCGGCCTTAGGCATTTTCTGTGAGGCACACAGCTGTGGGCTGTCAGCAGGCAATTTTCCTAGCAGCTGGGATGGAGGCGTTAGCCATGAGCTGTGATCTGGACTGAGCTTCAAAATATCTACAGCACTGCTCCTTCCCCTTCCTACTCCTTTTTGGCAAACAAAATAATCTCACAATTCGAGGACTTAGCTGGGATTTGTGTACAACTGTTGAGGGATACATAAACCTTGTGTCCTCCTTTCCCTTGATCACATGGCAGGGACCAACCTGATCTCTGTCCAGGACTCACAACCCACTTATCTGTGGGGTTTTGTACAGGTCCAGCAGGGTTTCAATCTCTGCGGAAAATGTCGATTCAGTTCCTGCAATAATGGCGACAGATTTGCTCTGTCTCTGGCAGTTGTAATTAGGGAGAATCTGACTCGTTCCAGAGATCCAAAACAGGACACCCTTTAAGGTCTTGTATTCACTGGGAAATGCATTGTAGAGATCAAAACCCAGGGAGAAGTTGGGGAGCAAATGGGTACTCCTGTTGATCTCTTCGATGGCAAAGCAAAGGGCCAGAACAAATTGGTAGTTCCTCCAGAACCACCTAAATACAGCAGACATCATCAGGGAGAGTGGCTAAGTCATATATTTCAGCAGCAACTCTTAAATCAAGGGAAAATGAATGATTTAGAGCCTAGTTTCCCTCAGGTTTTTTTAAATTTTTTTTTATTATTGTACCCCTAAGGAGTCCTTTTCTATACAATTTTTTTTTAGTCTCATTTTCCATTAAGTTTTACAAGTATAGATATACTGCATATGTCAGGCTGGGTGGAACTGGAAGGACCACAAACCGTAGCAATATCTAAAATTTCCTATCCTTTCCGATTAATGCTCAGTATCTGCTGTGCCAAAGAAAATGATATCATTGGTGTGCTTTTATCTCAACTGTTGTCAGTCTCATTTTCTTTGGTGTGTCCAGTTGTCCAAACTAATGAACAAAAGTTGATACCACAGAACTAAGGAAAGTATTTAATAAGCCTGTTCAACCTTCATGAATATTATCTCATGCAATTTTCAAAACCACTACCAGAGATTGGTATCAAATTGTGAATTAAACAAATAGTTGTTGGAAATGTTACAAGAGTTAACACGTATAACATACATTAAATAGTCCCTGGCACAGAAAATAATTGATTTAGTGTTCATTATTATTGTTGTTAATATATTTTCTAAAATTTTATTTGTAGTTGTTGTTGAGAATATACACAGCAAATCATACACCAACATGTACAATTTCCACATGTACAATTCAGTGACATTGATCACATTCTTCGAGTTGTGCAACTATTCTCACTCTCCTTTTCTGAGTTGTTCCTCCCCCTTAACAAAAATTCACTGCCTCTTAAGGTTCCTCCTAAGGTTCAAGTTGCTGTTGTCACTTTGATCCTATGTTGTTATTGTGAAGTGCTGTTGAGTTGGCTCTGACTCATCATGACCCTATGTACAACAGAAGGAAAACTGCTCGGTCCTGTGCCATCCTCACAATCCTTGCTATGTTTGAGCCCATTGTTGCAGCCACTGTGTCTATCCATCTCATCGAGGGTCTTCTTCATTTTCACTGACCCTCTACCTCACCAAGCATGATGTTCTTCTCCATGGACTGGTCCCTCCTGATAACATGTCCAAAGTACTTGAGACGAAGTCTCACCATCGTCACTTTCAAGGAGCAATCTGGCTGTCCTTCATCCAAGAGAGAATTGTTTGTTCTTCTGGCAGTCCATGGTATATTCGATATTCTTTGTCAACACCGTAATTTAAAAGCATCATTTCTTCTTTGGTCTTCCTTATTCATTGTCCAGCTTCTGCATGCGTATGAGGCTATTGAAAATACCATGACTTGGGTCAGGCATACCTTAGTCTTCAAAGTGACATCTTTGCTTTTCAACACATTAAGTGGTCTTTTGCAGCAGATTTGCCAATGCA